AGAATATTTTCATCAAATTATTTAAAAGCGTATTAATATACAAAATTGTACCTATTTGTACGAAGTTTTTGCCAATTAGTAAATTAAATTGTCAAATGTCGAAAGTTTTTAATAAAAAGTACAGAAATTAGTGAAGTGTTTGATCAAAATTTCATTTTGTTATTGAGAATTTATTTTAATTTACTAATTGGCAAAAACTTCGTACAAATTGGTACAATTTTGTATATTGAATACGCTTTAAAATAATTTGGTTAATTTTCTGTTAAAACGTATAGAAATTATTGAAGTTGGTCAGAAAATAAGAAATTTTGAAAATAATATAAATTACTAGAAAAATGTATGGAAATGTTGAGAATCAGATGAAATGTTTGAGATAGAATAGTTAGTAGTGATAGTAGCTAATTTGTGTTTGTTTTTCGGTTCTATTGGTCTCCTCCCAGGTTGCTCTATATCCGGACCAGAGGGATGCAATCTGTTCATCTACCACCTACCTCAGGAATTCGGCGACGCCGAACTGATGCAGATGTTCATTCCCTTCGGCAACGTGATCAGCTCGAAGGTGTTCATCGACCGCGCCACCAATCAGAGCAAATGTTTCGGTGAGTTTTCCATCATAAGGATTAAGGATAGAAGAATTGGAGCTAATTGTTTGGATGATGATGTATGGTGCAGGGTTCGTGTCCTTCGACAATCCGACGAGCGCCCAGGCGGCGATCCAAGCGATGAACGGCTTCCAGATCGGCATGAAGAGGTTGAAGGTTCAGCTGAAGAGGCCCAAGGACGCGAATAGGCCCTACTAACACTCGGCCAAACACGCCAGCAGCCAGCCGCTCCCAGCCATTAGTATACTAAACTTGCAGAGATATAAATATTTTAAGTAACGAGACACAAGCAAAAGGAAGAAACAAACATATAATTAAACAAAACAAACAAAAAAAAAACTTGAAGGAACGAAGAAGTAGCGGAAGAAGCTACAAGAAAAAAAAATAATAATAATACATGTATATGCACAAAAAAAGAAAACATATATTCGAAGATTTATATAATATATATGTACTTATTATTATTATTTTTATCGGATCGTGCCCAAATGACACATAATTGTGAAGGGAAAAGCCCTCGAAGAAAGAAGCGTCGCTCGCAATCTCATTCGAGAAATTCCAAATGGGCTGTGATTAAATAACGATTCAGTGTTTGATTGTACAGGCCGTTTTGTCTTCTCGTTTAGTGAAATTGTACTTCTTAATTAATTAATTAATCAATCAATTATCATTAATACTCTGATAATTTTTAAATTTCGATATCGTTAATCGATCATTTTTAATTGATAAATTTTTGCCAGATTAAAAGAAAAAATAATGAAAAAAATAAAAATATTGCTATATTTAAATTATATATAAATATATCCAAACAAAAACTATATATATATTATTAGTCTTTATATATATAAATAAATAAATGAATGATGAAACAAAAAAATATATTATATATATATAATGTAAAAAGTGTGTGTTGTGTGTGAACTGAATAATTATTGCGAGCGATGCGCAAGGGTCGACGTCTTTTTTCTGTTTGTTATTGCCAAAAAAGTGAACGATTGTTAATGATGTGCGTAATAATTAATAATTAATGGTAATTGGGGGCACGATCCGAGAGATGGCGCTGACCGCTGATTTCTTATACAATTGCGTATATCTATATATATATAAATAGTTTGAAGAAACAAAGCAAGAAAAAAAAGTATATTTATATTACCAAGTAGGCGTGGAGGCTCGAATTCGCCTCGAAAAAGCCGTGAACAAAATAATTAAAAAAAAATTATTTATATATATATATAACAAACAAAAGAAATATGATATATATATAACAATATATTTAAACAATACTATTATTATTATTATACAAAGCGAGAAAAAAAAATATGGACATAAAAAAAATTTAAAAACACAAAACATTAATTAGGATTAAGATTTCTATACTATAAGTTTTAAGGATCATAATCTATACAAAGTACCAAAACTATATATATATATATATTAATTAATAATGATAATGTAAATTTTATGGTAGCATCTAGTCTTCTCCGTTCGCTCTCGTTTCGGTTCTGTTGTTTCTCTAGGCTAAGACGATTTACTTTTACATAATTTTTTTTTTCATAATTTATTTAATTAGTTAACTTAAATTATTTATTTATTTTAATTGATTGATAATCACGCAGATGTGATCATCATTCAACAATTTGTATTTGTATTGATGATGGACGAACGATGGTTAGGATTCGTAATAATTGAATTCTCGGCTGGGCCACTCTAGTCAAATTATATTATTATACATATTATATATATATACTATTATTATTACTATTTATTATGAATTAGCCGAATTCGAGTTAAACTAAATTACGAGGGAAGTAAGCGAAATCGATTTGTTAGGATTTACGTTTTGGTCGTCGGCGTCTGGCCCGTCCTCAACTTTCCGGCCCTTGAACAAAAAAAAAAGTAAAATAGGAGGTGTTGTGTCTCGTTTCAACTCTCGTTTCTAAAATCGACAATTTTCTTTTTCATTAATTTCTTTTTCGGAGAGTCCGAGAACGAGGGGAGCACCGATTTCTAGTACTATTTATATATAAAACTCTAAACGTATACATTTAAATAATATTAATTAATTAATGCGATAATTTTTAATAATTTATGATTTCGAGAGAAAATGATGATGATGATGAGTAAAATATAATTATTTTAATTTATTTATTTATTTTTTTTACCAATTTCTTTGGCTGAGATATATTTGTGCAATATAACAAAACATATAAGTAAAATGAAAAAAATGCGCGTTTCATAAGGTGAAATGTATGAGAAAAAAAAACGCGCTCTTTACTTGATATAAATATATTAATAAAATATACATATTTACTTTAAAAAACAAAAAAAACAAAGAAAATCCTATGGAAGGATGATTATTAATTTAAAAAAAGGATGGGGATTATTGTTTTTTTTTAGATTTAGTACGCATTCCACACGCTTTTGCGCAGTGTACAGCGTGAGAGAAATTTTTTCATCATCTCGTACTCAAGAGAGGCGTTCTTTAATTAATTTATTAATTTACTTTTATTATAATTATTTTTGTGGTTGTTTGAAAAAAACACACAAAAACCCGAAAATTATTATTATTATCAATAAAAAAAAAACAAAAGAAATAGACGATAATCCAAGATTCGACGCCGCCTCCTCGACGTTACAGAAGATTTTGACTCTTCCCTCGTCGTTCGCGCAAGCGAGGAAAAACGGCGTTTTCGAGACACACGCAAATATTTTTTTGCAAAAAACATACCCTGTATCCTAAGATCACTTCGCTGCGTCGATTATATATTTATTAATATTACAATATTTATATCTTAATAGTCGTTTAAAATTGTAAAATCCGCTCGCGTCGTCTGATTGGGAGGGGCGGGGGGCTCAAAATCGGGGGAGGTTCTTTTTTTGTTTGTTTTTGTAGACGGGGTGGCAAAAGGGGGGGCGCCACCTGTTCCCATAAGAAACAACGAAATTCAAATTTCCCGC